TGTTCCCTCTCAATATTGTCCTCTTTTGAAATGAAAGGGGGAATTAGAATTCAGAGACAGGCTCCCAGGGAGAATATGAAGACAAAGATTAAGTCAGTGATACAACGTTGACATGCATTTAGTTCCTGAAAGGTCTTTAAAAAAAAGTCTCCTCCAGAGCTGCATTGCTTCTGCTGAGACTGGCTGGAAATCCACATTAGGGAGTGAGAAGAAGGGAAGGCCTGTGGCAGGGACTTGGGGATGGGCCAAAACTTTACTTGCCGATTAAAAAAAAAAAAAAAAAAAAGGAAAAAATCTCTTGGTGAGGCAGCCAGGACTGAACTGCCTGCTGATCTGAGCATACTTCTCTTCCCTGGCTACTCAGAGGTCCAAGCCTCTCTTAGCCTCCTATGCCCAGATAAGTCCTGTGGGGCTGGCCTTTCATAGTTACACCTAGACAGACAGACAGACAGACACACACACACACACACCTCTCCTGTGAGGCTAGCTTCCCCTGCAAGTCTGGTAAACACTGCTTAATGCCCCCGCCACACACACACACACACACACACACACACACACACACACACACACACTCACCTTACTCCTTGGCTTTTTCCCTCCCCTGACCCCACCCGTCTGTGCCAGAGGTGAAAAGTTCCAGTTCTGCTCTCTGCCATTTGTGGTCTCTGGGTAGTGATGGCTGGGAGTTTCTAATATAGCCCCCACCTACCCACCCAAAAAAGACACAAAAGTCGGTGTTTCAGGACAAGTGTGGTTTTCAAGAGTTCCCTCTAGTGGAGATCACCTGTTACTTCACCCTACGGGAGCCCAGAGCCTCATGCTCCTTGGAAGCACTCAGTTGCTGGCTCTCCCACCTCGGTGCTCTCAGTCTCTATCTCTATCCCCCCCCCCCCCCCCGTCTGCCGTCTCTGTTTATCTGAGACCCTGTCTACATCCTGACTTCTGTTATCACCGCACGTGAGCCTCCACGCCTGCGTCTTGCGCTTGATGCTCCATCCTTCCGCTTTTCTCTGGCCTTCAGCAAGGCAGTTCTGATGGATCAAGCACTTTGGAAAGACCTCCTACCAAATGGCTTAATCTCAGATATCTAAAACAGTACAAAACGTCAGAGGCATTCAGAGTCTCTAGTGAACCAGGCTTTCAGTAGGAAGAACAAGAGGCTTTTTCCGAATTTCCTCCTCCGACCCCTACTACCCCATTTCCAAGCAAACTCTGGCCTAATGGGTTTATCTATACTTCCAAAGCTATCTGTACCCAAATTGTCTGGAGTCCTGTGTGAAGCCAGTCCCCCTTATCAGTTCTCCCAACCCTTGCCCGCTCCTTAGTCTCTGACTGCACCCTGCCAAGTGAACAGGTTGCAAAGCCTGGGCAAACAGACAGATAAAGGAGAGGGGAGAGCTTGAAGAAGGAAAGGAAGAGCTGGTGGGTCAGGTACTAGGTCAAGGGCTATAGGAAGACAGCAGGGAGGGGTAACACCAACTATTTTGCTGGGGGAAGAGAAGACCACTGGAGAACATCTGCTCGTTCTCAGGGCTTCCCAGAGATATCCTGCCACCCAGGTGAGGGACAAGGTCAGACCAAGTCAGGTTAATGGTTAACCAACTGCTGAAGCAGGGAACTTTCTGGAAGAGCTCAGTTGTAAGCTCTTTCCTCTCTCACCGTATACTCAAACTCCATAGGGACCTTGATCTCCAACAAAGAATATTCTCACCTCTATTTCTGCTCTCCAATTCAAGATCGGAGGAGTGTAAAGTTGCATAGAGGTTCCATAGGCCCAGATGCCAGGGAGCAGAGCCCAAAAGAGGCTAAGGGCTGAGCAGAGGAGAGAGGGTGGCCCCTTCAGATCAGTCATTCCCCACAGGCGCCTTGGGACCAGCTGTTTGACCCCGGGAAGAACTGCCTTTCTTTTTGTCTCCATGGGGGTTCACCTTTAGAAATGACAAAAAAAAAAAAAAAGCAGGGGATGGCACACCCACCCCTCATTTACTCTAATCAGGCATGAAATCTTTGTAACTATGTGAAAAAACTGTTTCCCATAAGGGAATCAGTTCCATTCATCATTGTTTGAACTGAGCATATGTGATGGGGAGAAACAGAACACTCACATAGAATGAATTGATAACAGACAGCCTAGGGGGAGGGGTAGCACTGGGGGAAGGGGTGGTGTTGGGGTGCTGTACATATGAGCTGTAAAAACTCCATCCAGCACCTCAAAGCCTGCTTCTCTTGCTTCCCTGTGGGCAGCCCTGAATTATTGTAGCTAACAGACTGTAACACAATGCTCCCGTCTCTTTATGATCTGCATGGGGCTGGGAGGGGGGTTGGCTCTGTGCTCCTTGCCTCTCCATTTGCCGTGATGGACAGAAGTATATTGTACCCTCGTCTCTCTGTGCAGAGACAGCTGTGTAGCAATGCAGGAAGACAGCTGGGGAGAGGGGCCTGGAAACAGGAATTGCCTCCCCCACACCAAATTCTGTATCTTTCAGAGGCAATCATAGAAAGCAAGGTGGAACAGAAACCATAAAGCTCCACAAACAGTGATGACTCTGGCACCACAAATATTTTGGGATTCCTGCACTGGCAAGCTTAAAGCTCCTGCCAGCTGCTGTCCTGTGTATTTAAGCATGTCCACTGGCTTCTCTTCCTGCTCCTGTGCCTCCTTGTAACATGCCCATGAAATAAAGATTAGCTGAATAATCAGGAGTATTTGTAATAGGCCTGGGAGAGGCACCTAGCAGAGACTGTTCTTTGAGGCTTCCTAACCTTATTTTGAGCACTGAACTCCTGCAAAGCAGATGCTAAGCTTAAACATGTACCACATCTACAACTTCTCTTGGTCAAGAATGTTGGAAGGCAATCTTTCATTAGCAGCCCGGAGACGGGGAGACAACGTTCAGAGCTGCTCTGATAGGGACCAGTAGCTCTGGGGTAGCATGGTCTAGAGCGATACTCCTATGATATCACTGTCTACTCTTCCTTTAGACTTCGGCCAAAAGGTCAGCGACTCTTCACCCCTGCTTGGATCCAGGCTGTGAGGGTCCCCTGTCCCTATGCCCTGCCAATGAAAAGGGTGCAGCTGAGACTTCTTCACCAGGTTGTAGTACCTGGGTAGAGGAAACCATTTAAGACCGTGTCACTTCAAGACTTGCAGCTCTTTAGCAATCTCCCCTGCACACCGGTCAAAAGTCAAGTCCTTTTAATTGCTTTTCAAGACTATTTGCCCCCATCCTAATGCAGTTTTCTGAGGACAATCAGTCTTCATAGTCCCCCTTTATCAGCAGATTTTTCTGGACAGGGTTAACTGTGAGAAATAGGAGACAGGTTCTTTAGGTAATGCTAGCTAGTGACAGCAGAGGCAAGTTGTGAGATGGCTGGGGGCATAGCACTAAGGGAGATGATGACAGGTAGAAGACAGACAAGAAAACAACCTCCTGGGGTATGGGACAGATTCCACTCTGCTTCCTTGGTTCCCTGCCCTCTTCCAATTTTCCACCCCTAGGACCCCCAGCAGAGATCACAGGTAATTACTTCTAAGGATGCTCTGTGAGGAGAGGAGAAGTTAATGAATTCTTCTATCTTCCTGCCTGGAGGTCAGAGGGTAGAGGGCTGCGAGCAACTCTAGGAGCATTCTGGGGCGATTGCACAGAAAGTTGTGCATTTCAATTAGGAACAGCTGAATTCTTCCAGTCAGGGCTGAGCTCTTCTGGGGATACTGGTGCTCACTGGAAGGCCCCAACATTCAGAGCTGGCCCGGAGGGAAGAGTGAAGTTTCAAGACCTGGAAAAAGGCTCGGTATGACTGGCCTACCTTTGTATGGAATTGCAAAGAGCTGAACCTGACTCCAGCTCTGTTGAAAGTGGTCAGCCCAGTCCTGCCCGTGGTACAGCCTAGAAAGTCAACTATACAGACCTGGTCCACAGCAAGGATGGATGTGTCTCAAAATGTGTAATCCTCCACAGATGGGCCTTCAGAGACATCTAGTAGCCTCGCTTCCCAAACCCATGCACCGCTATCTGTTGTGCATATACGGGTGGCTAGGGAGCTATGTTGTCTATGGTCTTGGTTCGCTAGAGAACTGAACATTCTTGCCCTCAACAGCTATGAGCTCTCCTTTCCAGATTGTAGTGACTGCCCTGGTATCCCAAGTTTACCCTCAGCTTCCTCTCCCTCTTATCTCTCTGTCTGAATTGTTTGCAGAGGTAGGCCCTCCTAGGGCAAGGGTCATGTTAAACAGGTGGATATTTTTGAGGTCCCTAGAATAACAGTTTTATGTGACGTTTTGACCATTTAGATCAAGACGAACATTTATGAAGACTACCTGCGAGTAAAAGAAGCTCGAATTTTCTAGGACCTTATCACTTCTTGAGGTGGGGCAAAAAAGAGTAAACAGAGGGAAATGGGCTTTAAGGAGCCTCTTGGACTCTGGACAAACTCCCACTTCAAACCATGGGGGCCGGGCCCCAGCTGGGCACTATGCCATGGGGGATGGGGGCAGGAACATTTAACCACAGTGCTTCCAAACCGCACACTGGGCTTCCTGGAACCCGCGAAAACGATGCCTTCTCCTTCCCAATTCCCAGTCCACTGAACCACTGAAACGGCCAGCGGCCACCCGGGACGACAGCGCCGGGTGAACGCCCCCCATCCGGCCTCCGGCCACAGTCGCCTTAGGCTATCTAGCTAATGCTACCGAGGCCCTCTCTGGGCTCCAACCCTGGGACAACCTCGCCACCCGGGCGCTCCCCAGAACTGCAGACAGCCGGCAGGTGCGCGTTGCAAGCGCGCCACGGAGCGCCGGAACCACCGGTGCCTCCGGAGTCGATGGCCCGGAAGCCGCGGCAAGAGACCGCAGCTGCGAAAGTGGCGGATCACGCGCGGAGACTCGCCGCCACAGTCGAGCCTTGGCCGGGGCCGGGACCCCAAGGGGACCTGGGGAGGCTGCGCCGAGAAGCCGCCGCGGGCGCGCGCTCAGGGAGAGGGCGGAGGGCTCCGCTTACCCAGCTCGGCGGTGTCTGTCTGTCCTTGCGTCTCCGCTTCGTCCGACTCGGCTGGCGGCTGCCCAGGGCAGCGCGCGCCCAGTTCCTGCCCGACCCGAGTCAGACAGACGGCCAGGTCCACATGGAACCCAAGATCATTAAAATCCACAGCCCGCGCCGGCCGCCTGCCTGTATTCCTGGGGTGGCCCTCGATTAGGACCGCGCGTCTTCACCCCGGTCGCCTGGACGCAGGGACCCGGACGCGAAGGGGCGTGGGGTCCGGTAGGGTCCCTCCGGGGAGGCGCAAAGCCGGCTGTCTTCAGGTTTTCCCGGCGCGACTTTCCGGGCTGCTCTGACATCAGCGATCCCGCGCTTCCTTCCCTTCTGCTCCCGGCCCGCTCGGCCCCATTTCCTCCGGGAACGGTTGCCAGCTCTGTCTGCGACCGGGCCCGTACGCTCCCCGCGGCTTCTGAGTCCACAGGATCGGATCGCTAGTCCTCGGCTGAAGGATCCCAGCAGCTGCGCCCGCCGCCCCCGCTCAGCTCTGCGCGGACAGTGCTGCGCGCTGCGCGGCTAGGCTCGGCTCCGGTGGCGGCGCCCTCAGCCGGCCTCCTATATTACCGCGCAGCTCATTATCATAGAGGCCGTGTTAACCCCCTCCCCGCCCACGCGCCCCGCCCGCGCAGACGAATCCCCCAGTCTGTCCACCCGAGAACCCGGCTGAGCTACTGTGCTGTGGGCGTTTGCCTCGCTCAGCGGACCCCGAAGGTAGCCAAGTGGCCAGAAAGGTGCTACCGGGGTCTGGGGACTCAGGTCCTGGCCTGGTGAGTCGGCTGACTTGGCCTCGGGAGGGGTTCAGAGTGACGAGGGCAACCCAGCCCCTCGCGTGTCATCACCTGTCACCGGGCACAGCCTACTCACCCCCCTCTTCACCTGTGAACTAGGGGTGAGTTCGGAGGGACCTGCCTTGCTGATGGGGTTGAGAAGGGGTCTCGGATTTCGGAGGAGCAAAATTCTCCTCCCTATAAATTCCAGAAAGCCAGCAAGCTGTCAAAAGAGGTTTGAAGTTGTTGATAATTATTATTTCTACAATGCGAAGAGGATCCTGGTTTTGCGTCTCCGGTTTCCTGCTCCATTGGAAACCCAGGATGTAGGGCAGGGTCTGAGTCGGATAGGTGCTGTGGAGACCAGAGGAAAAGGATCGTTTGCATTATCCAGATCCGCGAGACCACCTCGTACTGGAAACAGAAGGTGATGGCTAAGAGGTTAAGACAACTTTAATAACCTCAGAAGAGAGGATTTTCAATCCTTGGGTGATTTGGCGCCCTCACGGTCTTGATTCTTTTTCTCGTAGTCTATGTATCTGCATCGGTGGCCATGACTTTCCCGTGGCTTTTCCCGTCCTGTGGAGGCTAGACCCCAGTAAGGTCTCAGGGTCTTCCAGCTCTTTGCTGGAGACTGAGCAGAGTTTACTCAACATGTCCAAGTGTCTGACGAACGTCCCTTACTGCCCTCTCGTGGCCAGACTTTTCAGTAGTATAAAAAGAAAAGGGAAAGTGGGATTATTGCCTCTGAAACCAACTGTTTTGTTGGCTGAAAATTCTCAGCAGGGCCTTAAAAAAGAAAGAGAAAGGAAACAAGTCTCATCAACTATCTCAGAGACACTGGATTATGAAATGTAGAACTCGTTTAAGTTTTGGGGTTTTTTTTGTGTGTGTGATTTATTTATTTATTTATTTATTTGTATTCCACCTATCCTGGAACTCACTATGTAGACCAAAGTGGCATCGAACTTAGAGATCTGCTTGCCTTTGCCTCTCAAATGCTGGAATCATATGGTTTGTTTCACCATACCATGCCTGGCTCAATTAGCTATTCTTAAAAAAAAGAAAATCTGGTTAGTTCATTTAAAAGCTCTTCAATTAATTAATTGGCTTAAATTTTTGTCCACTATCAATGGCTGTAGCTGACTTTGTCCATTGGAGCCACAAAGAATCTGAATTCCACAATGCACATCTATTTTGTCCTTTGAATTTATGTAGCATTTATTTTTGTTAATACTCCAGTACTCCAAGTGATTTCTTTTCTTTTCTTTTCTTTTTTCCGAGGCAGGATTTCTCTTAGTAATTTTTTGGTGCCTGTTCTGGAACTAACTCTTGTCCAGGCTTGCCTCAGACTCACAGAGATCCACCTGCCTCTGTCCCCCAAGTGCTGGGATTAAAAGCATGTGCCACCACTGCCTGGCTCTGGAATACTTTCTCCAGGCGATTCTTACATTATTCTTCCTATATTATTGTTCAAGCCTGTATGTAAGTGGGTCTTGTCTCCCCACCCAAACAATTGTGTTACCCTCTTATTTCTAAGTACACTAGGTTTAAGGCACAATTTTTTTAAGAAAATTAAAAGAAGATGCTCACAGATCCTGGAACACTTTTGGCATATGTTTAATGAGAGGAGTATCAGTCTGACCAGCTGCATGTGAGACCATCCTTAGTAGGGCTGAGGTAACTAACTAATAAGGCTCTCAGCTGAATATCAGGACCCTTTAATTCTAACCTAAGTACAATATAACTGTATGTTCAGGGGATGGGGTGTCTTATGTCTTGTCCCTTCTCGGTGCCTCAATTTAATCTCATCTTGAGATGATTACAATACAATTTAAATAATTTCAGATATAAGTCCCCACCCCCTGTGATCCAGAAATAAACCCTTAAATGAAGAATGAGAGCACATTAAATGAAAGTGACTCCTCCACACACCCGCATCCTGTTCTCCACTCCCCATACTTGCCCTGCCTGTCATGAAGAAAGGGAGAGGGTGGGAGAAAGAACACCTACAGACAAATCACACTGCAGGCAGGGTGACATGATGCCACCCTACTCCCACAGTGCCTCTGAGCAGCATCTGAAATTGAGCCAGTAGAAGGTGTGATCACAAAAGCCTGAAGATGGGGCTTGGATGAAGAACCCTTGTCTTCCTTAGGCCTCAGTTTTCCATCTCTAAGATGGGCTTCCAACTTGAAATCTCCAGGTAGCTGGGACGTTAAAACAAGATGGGATGGTGTTTGAAGAACTGATAGTATCCTTAGTTGTGTGACCATACTTTTCCTGGGGCGATGCAACACACACGCCTACTCGCCCCATAGTGATCCCATGGCAGACCAAAGTATGGAACCACCAAAGTCTGACTTTGGTGAGCCAATGAATTTTATTGGGGTTACTTACAGGAATATGGGAGAGGTACTATGTACTGGAGCAGAAATAACTCAAAGACAGCTGCATCACCAAGGTCTACCCCAACATTGGTGACAGCTGACAGCTCACAAAACCTGGGAAGCCCAGGACTGCCTGCAGGCAGCTCAACAGGGTGGAGAGTGTCCTTTCCAAGTGACAGGCAGTCCCCATCTGAGGCAGGCTGTCAGTTTTTATTGCTTACTCTGGCAAGGAGGGACCTAGTGAATCTGGTCACTTTCAGGGACTTCCTGAAGCTATTTTGATTTGTTTACCTTCCTGCTTAAGGAGTTTCCTGCAGGACGGAATGCTTTTTATCTTGGAGCAAACTGTTAGACAACATTAGTTGAGCACATGGTTACACTTTAAGAATTAAGATAATCAATAGAACCCATGCCTGACACTGCTCTGGTGGCCAAGAATCTGAGACAAGATAGACCATGGGTCTAGATGAAAACCAAACACTGTTGTTCTGCTCAAGGAACACAGTAATAAAATTACTCCTAATGTTATACTCATAGATCAATGCCTCCTGCAGCTATCATGAGAGATGCATCTTCTTGCAGTAGTGGGAACTAACACTGAGACCTACAACTAGAGAGTATGCAGAGTGTGAGAAATCTTGGAACACAACCCTAAATGAGATGTTTCCATCAATCCCTCTCCTCAGGATTCAAGGCACAGAAGAGAAGGTAGAAAGATTGTAGAGTGAGAAGGAATGGATGGCACCAAAGAAGCAGCGTCTTCCAGACACAATAGGACCTGGACACGTGTTATCTCATAGAGACTGTGGGAGCATGCACAGGACCTGGACACGTGTTAACTCACAGAGACTGTGGGAGCATGCACAGGACCTGGACATGTGTTAACTCACAGAGACTGTGGAAGCATGCACAGGGCCTGGACTCGTGTTAACTCATAGAGACTGTGGCAGCATGCACAGGGCCTGGACACATGTTAACTCACAGAGACTGTGGGAGCATGCACAGGACCTGGACATGTGTTAACTCACAGAGACTATGGGAGCATGCACAGGGCCTGCACCCGTTCAAGCCAGATGGGGCCCTAACATGGAGAGGGGAAAGTAGATACACACACTCATCCCTAACCTTAAGAAGTTTTCTCTAATTGACACCACTTGCAAAGGAAAAGTTAGATTTCTCCATTGGAGTCTCACAGTATATTACCCATATGGCCCCAAGTCCAGCAGTAGATGGCCAACACAAAACAAACTCATTTTTTTTGTCTTACTGGTCTTTTGCTTGTATATCATGGCTTCTATTCTATGTTTTAATGGATTTTGTCTGTTGTATGTGCTTGTATGCATGTGTTTCTTGGTTCATTTGTTTTTTTTAATTCTGGACTTTGTCTTCTTTTTATTTTCTAGTGAGAGAGAAGAAGAAAGAGAGTATGAAGTTGGGTGGGTGGGGAGTTGGGAAGGATCTAACAGGAATTGAGGAAGGGGAAATCATGATCAGAATATACTTCGTATGAAAAAAATTTAATTAAAAAAGAATTAAGACAATTACTTTAGGTTCCTGGTTTTTACAGATGGCAGTAATGGCCTCAAATCTTCAAAGGGCTGAGCTCACCTATCTTGACCATCATCCATTTGACAACTAAGTTTTATTAAAAGCATCTTTATTGTCCGACCATGGTGGCACTCACCTTTAATCCCATCACTCAGAAGGCAGAAGCAGGCAGATCTCTGTGAGTTCAAAGTCAGCCTGTTCTACAGAGTGAGTTCAAACGTTACACAGAGAAATGCTTTCTTGAAAAACAAAACAAAACCAACTTTATTGCATTTCTTCCCTTCTTTCATAGAATTGTTTATTCTACATATATAACATTTGTAAATTTAGTTGATACAAAATAATTATACATATTTATATGGTGCAATGTGATATTTCACTATATGTAACATGTCATGATCAGTTTTGAGTAATTAGCATCTTGTCACCTCAAACAGTTATTACTTATTTTGCAACACATAATAAATTATTGCTAACTGTAGTAGCCATACCATGCTATAGACTCTGAAGCTTAGCTTTCCTTGCTGGCTTGTAACTATGACTTGGCTGCTCAACTCCTCCCTCTCCTCCTCTCCTCTCTCCTAGGTTCTGGCAGCCACCTTAGGACTTTCTGCTTCTGTGAGGTCTTTGCACGAGCCTTTCTGTGCCTGGCTTCATTCACTTGACATAAAGTGCTCTGAACGCATGGACTGCTGCAAGCGAGATGCTTCTATTCTTTTTAAGTGGCTGAGTAGCATTCCATTTTTCAGTATGTCAATAATGAACAGACTCCACACCCCCATGCACTGTTGCTTTTCTGAG